CCATCAACGTACAGAGTGTTCCATAGACATCTTGAAGCAAACCTGAAATTGAATGGTTAACTCAGCTTCGAAGAATAGTTACCTAGAGATTCAGAAATTTTGAGTTCAGTTTTCGGGAATCCCTTTCGCAAATCCGATTATGCTCCTTCATCTCTGTCACCATCTACTCTATTATTGCAATTTTGAAAACTGAGACAGACACTTCAAATGTCAGACCTGCTTCATAAAAGCAAGTCAGAGTTTCAGGGTATTTTTGAGGGAACCGCAGCAACTCAGACGCAGTGTTTGCTGTTGATGTTACCGGCACCGTGAAACCTACTTGGACCATCTATGCAGGAATCTCTCGTAAGCCTTCCCTAAGTGAGCATCTTTGTTGACGTCAGCGTTTTTTAATCTGTTGAAAGACCATTGATTGGAAGTATGGAGGGATTCAATGCTTTTACACAGTCACAAATGAAGCGGCGCTTCTCAACACATTGGCAACCACGCAATTTCCGGTGTTTTCAAAAAATTGTATCCTCATGCTATGCGTCTAATGGATATGCTGAAAGAACCTGAACTCAGTGTAGGAGCAGTTGAGCGCTAAGGAAAGGAAAATCGCGGGAAATAGAGCCACGCTATCGTCGACTGTTTCCGCACATGAACAACAAGGATGGGCTCATGTAGGTAATGAGATCACGACTTAACGCTGGATATAAGCTTTTACCGTTAAACAGTCACATACTGCTCATTATAGTGATTGACAGTTGACTAGCGACTGCGCTGGGGCTGAATCGCAGCTTAATTTTACGGTCTTGAGGTATCTCCATAACTAAAAGCTGATTTGATGGCGTTCAATTAAGGCAACCAGCAGGGTTTTTACCTTCGACACTAATGGTGTGGAACGATGCGCTAGCCCTAGTCAAGAGCATAAGAAGTGTGACCGAACAAAAAACTCACCTTGGAAAGCCGCTAGGGAGGCCTCGAAGTGGGCGTGGTCAGAATCGGCCAAGAGGGCTGCACAACCACGCACACTTCAGTATGCCTCTAACATTTATCTGATGTAGCCACTTTGAGTTATCGTCTTTTTTTTACCAAAAATAAGCGCCACTCGTCGGGTGGGAGAGTTCAGCACAAATAATCTCAGAAAAGGATTCTACGAGAAACGATCTGGACTTAAAAATGCAGGTAATATGAACTTCACTTCTCTTCCAAGTTAGAAAGACCGCGTCTGTGAAAGGTATGACATGTTGCGTGCTACCGTCAAAGCGCACCTAGAGCTCCTACGAGCTGAGAGTCGTGCTCGAGGAAAGCTCATCCAGTGATCTCGAGCTATTCTGTAAAAACTTAATGTGAGTCAAGCTTCATCATGCTCCGTCGCTAAGTGCACTCCGTGTGCCATGAATTCCTTGTCAACATATTGAAGTGAACCCTCACAGCAGCCGTACTACATCCTCCGTCAGTCTTGAGAAGAAAATGGAATCAGGATTGAGGTCGGACAGCTACGGCTTGTGACCCCAAAAGAAATTAGGCTGAGTGGCTTTCGCATGAAGCCCCTCCAACGAACTTCAAAAGGGAGAAAGGATCCTCTTTACGAAAGCAAGCATTCCTTTTTGCTTGGGAGTGATGGCACACTGAGTCGAATTTGTCGGAAGGAAGAGGTAGTAAAATGCATAATGGAGGATCTGCGATGCTCCATGGCGTTCTCGCGTTATGGGGACTGGGTCCCTTCCCGAAGTATGACGAGAAAGTTACAGCAAAAAAATGCAGAGACATGGAAGCCAAGCTCATCTTATCCTGAACACGATACACAACTCGAGGGTCGTGAAGACCGCTTTCCGACAGCAAAGATCAGACATTTCAAGTGTACACTTGGTTAAAGGTCGTCAACGAGATCGTCGCAACGTCTCTTAATTAAAGGAATCTTGCGCGGAAAATTCTTGCAAGATTCGGTTTCTGAAGAGAAACAAACGTACAAAAACTACACGTTATGGACCATCGAAGGACCAGGAGGCAGAGCCAGGCGAGGCATGGAAAGAAGACGGCGTTTGGCCGGCTACGTACCAGGCGACGCAATGAGAGAATCGGGTTAAAGCGCGCGATTTCGGAGAGTGGAGACAAATCGATCGATGGAATAGGATGGAGTAGAAGTGTAAGATGTGAATGCAACGAAGCAGAAGGCCAGAAAGAGCTTCTAGTGAATGCACTCCAAGAACCAAGTTTGAGCATCCCCGTCGCCAGCATTCGTGAAAGACGTCCGTGGGCAATTCGAACGCGTAGCAGCCTTTTCGAGTTTTCGAATTTCTAATCAAAACGAAAGCAATACTTCAGTTCTTTTCACTATTATCGTGGATAATGAGTCTCAAGCCAGTGATTTATGGCTGAAATAGAATCATGATTTTTCCGCGCAAGATTCCTTTAAGCGCGCCCTTTCTTCTACGTTAGTCGCCCGATGTTTTGAATAAGCCATAGGCGGGGTCTATCAGTGCCTCCGGTGATTTCTTCTGCTTTTTTTTGATTCAAGTGGGACATAAAGCCTACCGCTTAATGTTTGAAGAGCAAAGTTGAGTAACCACATATTGCGTTTGTGGAATCTAAAGCCCGAAGCGATGCCAGGTTCTCATCAACTCATTGGACTCCCACCTAGACTAAGTAATTAGTACTGGTGTTCCGTGAATGGGTGGTGGTCAATATGAGTGGTAATAGCAAAAGTGTGAAAAGAGGGAACCAGAGTGTGCAGGATGTCGCACAGCAACGTGAAACTTTCTGATTAAGGTAAAGCGTATTTTCCCTACAGTAAGGTCTTTTGGTCATTTTGGTACTAAACTCTATTCTCTGGTGAAAGCAGGCGTTCCTGTAGGTCTATCTTGTTCATAGACTTGTAGTCAGAACTAGCAATTGACTTATTGTAGCAGCTGTCAAACATCGCCAGATTCAGCGTCCCCATGCACGCGTACGACGGGAATGCGTTTTATTTGGCGCGTCTACTGGGTTAACGTAGCCCTAACGTAATGCTGAAGTTACATTTGTGAATACCGCAAAGGCAGCGCCAAATGATCAACACCCACGCTGTGGGGCTCACTTGAGGAAACAATATGAGTCTCAATTTCCATGTTTTCTACGAAACTTTACCGCTAATCTATTCAACATGATCCTTTCATTTACAATAATTCTTCCTCCTTGAGCATCGGATAGGAACCGTGGACTTCTGCGCCATTGTTTCACTCTAGCGACGGTTCGTTCCTTGCTACGGGCCGAGGAAGCCATAGACACTCCACCGAGACATCCATTTTTACCACTGCCAGATTAATACATAGCTATCCTCGCAAATGGAGGGGCAGAAGTGAAGCTACAATAGATGTGCAAATTTTCTAACCTTGGAAATATCGCTATGATTGTGGTGATCGCCATTACAAGCCAGAAATCCAGTGTCATCATGGCTTGATTCGGTACGTGCACAGGTGCATCAAAGAGAATTTCTGAGTATATGCATAAATGATTATCAAAGAAGCTCGTATAATGATTGCTGATCAAAAACGCTATAAAGGCAAAACGAGCCGCAAAAAAAACTCACGAGGTTGGACCACGAGGCCGTATATGGCGAAGAAACCAAAATGAAAAGCGATGAAGAAAACGAATACGGTAGCCAACGGAACGTTCTGAATAAAACTAATAAACAGGTTGGTCGCAAACAATTGGCCCAACACGTTTATTTTTCTTTCTGGCAACAACTCATTTGTTCAGCTACAAAAATACTGTTTTACGCTCGTGAGTCGGTATCCCCCCACATGGGAAGAAGCAGGTCCTCCTTCACTGTCCTCCGTCTCAGAATGTGACAGAGGGCAGTGGAGAAGGGTCATCTTTCATCATCATGGAGCTTACAGAGGCTAATCGCTCCGGCTGTAGCAGAATTTGTTACATAATTTCTTCAAAGGTTACTGATGGATAACTTCTCAGAGGCAGTCGCTCTGATTATGTTCGGAACAGTTCACGATCCGTCAAGGAACTTGTTGATTTTGAACTGTACACCACGCTCCCTAGAAGAATCTTGGGTAAAAGGTTGTTATGACGCGTTTTCTGATAGTTTTAATGCGCTCTTCAACTTCCATATAGGATAATCGGTTTGATTAGCAACGTGTAAATTCAGTTTCAAAAGTGGAGGGGAATGACTTTTTGCGCTCCCCCCCCCACACTCTCGGGAATAGTTTGACATTGGCCACCGCAAGCTTCATCTGCTACTTAAAAATTAATGAAAATCATTCCTCACGTTTCTGCATACTAGAGGCATGAAACCTCCCCGCAATCCCACACTGGTTTTGCCTGAGGAAAGATTCAGTTCTTGTCCTTGAAGGACGAATTCACGATGAAAAAGCAACCCATTTCAAATTAACCTAGGGATGGTGAGTGGTACACGAAAGAAGGAAGAACCATGAGAAACGGCCCAGAACCCGAGAAATGGGACCCCTTCCTTGCCCGTTGATTTGAGCATTGATGCGACTCTCATCGCTGTGCCCTCTTCAACACTACGCTCTCTCAGCTATCTAATCACTCGCCACGTATTGAACTACGGCGAGTGATCAGATGATCGGTGGGCGGAGATCGCCGGACCCGCCAGCTTTGAGGCATGATAGGTCGCCGAGGTCAAATTTTTCCATGCGAATTGCGCGTCAGTTCGCACCCTCAGGAGGTCCGTGGGTCCCTCAACTAGGTCAGTTTCCCTTTCTTCGACCTTCATTCTAATCGTGAATTCCTCCTTTAACGAGGATGCTGCACACTTACGTACGCCAAGCATGAGAGGATCCCTAATTCTTAAGTCGTCACGAGGCTCTGTTCAAACCCCTGATCTTTGTGCTCAAGCCTATAGCGACAAGCGCAGTACAGAAAAACCGACTCAATTTGGTTCGCTGTCACGTTTGCAGTACGTGTACTAGATAGAAGGACTACGCGGTGCTAGAAAAACATTATTGGTCACCGTCGCTACCTCGTGTGAGCTGGTTGGAACCAGTGTTGGAATCGTTCATTCAACATCGCCTGATGTGTTGAAAATGGCCAATTATACAGAACTGCCAGGCTGCGCTACAACAACAGCGAGAACCTGGTGGTGAAGACTTTCCTAATGGCGCATGCGGAGAGCCCGAAAGGGTACGCAACGTTTGAACGGCAATGATGCACTTACCCAACATCGCACCTCCACGGCGAGATGTGCTGTGTTGGTGAACATCATGCCAGTTGCGATGTAAAACCCGAAGAGCCACAGTCCACATTCCTGACCAGTGAAAGTCTGAAAAAAACATAATGAGGAATCAGTTGAGGCACATCTTGAGGGAGCAAAATAAAACCGGCATATTGCACTATTACAACCCGGGAGTGCGTTTGATCAAGATTTCACGCCTTCGTCTACCTCGCACCTTGCCTCCCCCATATGCAGAGTTGCCTGTGGGCTTGACCTCGCTTAATTGCATGCGCTGCCTACTGACCTTTCTTGACAACGCAAATAACATCAAAACAGACCAAATTCATTAAATGAAGATCAATATTTATTGAACATAATAATTTCATTATTGATGTCATATTCGTGTGAAGACCCTCGATAACCCCCATAGCCGAAGTTTCAGCTAAAATTGTTTAAAATTGTTTTTTTTTGCCCATCTCACCCCTACTGGGGTTGTAATAGTGCAATAGTGCCCAGAACACCACATTCATATGGTGAGGTTTCAAACACTACTGCAAAAAAATTGATCGCTATTGTGAAGAAACCCAGAGGTTTTTTTTAACGTTTCAGCTGCACTGGATTGAGATCTCTTCGAGCCTAAATCATACCGAAAAAGCCACCAGGAACGTTTGGGCAACGTTTTGGTCGGGGCATTAGCTGCACTAGAAAATTTAGAGTGTTTGCAACTGCTAGTCTTTTCCACCACTACACAACACGCCAAGACCGACCTCCCCAATAATTGGTACGTTGTATTGCACTTGTGATATTGATGCCAACAGTACCGCTATGGCCTGATGAAGGCGTGAACGCCGAAAGCGTGCTGAACAAGATCGGAGCTCCCACTCTCCAAGCTATCACAATCACTGCAACTATCGAAGTTTCAATATGCTTATAAAGCTCAGAAACTAACCTCGCATTTGTTAACTTAGGTAATCATATACAACATCGCACCTCCCAGCAGTAATTAGCGAGAAACCTCACTCCACAGGATGGGATTGGGGAGCGCAACTCATTGAAGGATCGTAGGGTACTGAGCTGATTGTAAAGTCGAATTATGTCATATTATCAAAAATGAGACAGAGCACAAATGAGGCTGCATTAGCAAAATCCCGCTCAGATTTGTGATGTTGTGAATGTTTGAAAGTCGATGGGGAATCATTGCTGAATCTGCTGTCAATGAGATGACGGAACTGTAAAGAGTTCCCTAATATCGCCGTGGTTTTCCTTCCTAAATGATAATCATCATGAAGCGCCACCCCCCCCTGTACTCTAAAATGAATAAAAATGGTGAAATAAGGGTGGATGGATCTCCAACACTCAGCACATTCAACGGAGCTGATCCAATATGCAGTTTGTTTAGCTTACCGTAATGACTCACTTGAATTAACTTCGAGGGCATCAAAAAGTTGTTCACTAGCAAATGGCTCAAGGTAGAGCAATTCCTTCTATAAGCGGTACAGAAAGAATAGAAAAACAGGGTTGATTGGATGTCAAAAGGTAGTTGGCCGGATTCAATGTCTGTACTGATACCCCTCAACGTAAACTCGCAGAATCAAGGAATCAGATGAACAAATGAATTGTGAGGCCAAGTCATGGGCACAGCGGAGGTGGGAACCACGACTTGCGTGCCGGAGTGGCAATGTGACCGCGAAGGGACTGCAAACAAACAAGTTCAATGTGGATGACCTTTTAGATGGGTTAATTACGATTTACACAATCGACACTAGCCTAGGATGAGTCTGACAAGGGAGGTCAGCAGTCAGCGGGCCGCAATTAAGCGAGGTTTCCCCACAGGCAGGTGAGTGGAGGTGCGAACAAGTCCTGCCACAGTTGCAGTTGCTTCTCAGGTTGCCGACCTTATTCGGAGGGATCCTTCTGGGCTCACCGTGTTAATATCGAATGCAATTATAAACACCTCTCTGCAGACGGCTAGACAGATCAGTCACCTTTCCTGGTTAGTCCCAAACCTGAGTGCTACTTTTATGGAGTCGTATCCGCAGAGATCGTAGATGAACAGTGTCCACGTCGCCGCGTTACCCCTCAATTACGATAACACGGTTCACGGTGATGCACAGTCTTGAGACTAGGAGTTTCATATGTCTCCTTGAGTAGGGGCTCCGGAGTGCGTAATTTTTTTCATTTTCTTCCAAGTCCCTTCCTTCCCTCAGTGGAGTGATAGGGGACTTTGAAATTGCAGCGAGGCTAGCCATTCACAAAGTTCCCGCCGAAAGATGCAGCGAACAGAACGCCACACCGCCTCGTGACCCCTATCAACTTCGATAGCCTGACGCGGTCGCGAGACCCATATAACGCAATGGTCGTCTTCCATGTGCTCTTCAAGCTCCACTTACGACGGCAGTTTTCGAGGAACTGGGAGGGGGGTTGTATCAGGTTGAACATGTAGCGTTCAGCGACGCCACCAACATCGACCAGATGGGGTCGTAATACACAAAGAGGAACAGCGGAGGGACGAAGCGAGACTTTTGTCGGATGAGATTGCAATCTACTACACTTGCCAGTTCTTCGCCGCTACTCTCCCTGAAAGGTGTGTGGATAAGCTGGGCGGAGAACCACACCAATTGACGAGAGGTGCTCTCATGGACAGATTCATGCCTCCCCTGGCTAATACTCTGCAAGAAACTTGCGGGCTCCTTCGTCAACTTGCTTAGAAGTATGAAAACCGTAAGTGGCTCCATGAAGGATTAGTGGTCACGAAAAAATATAGCTCCAAGGTTGAAGGGGGTGTTATAGCTGTATTGTCTCAGCACGGTACCTCTTCATCTGCGTTTTCAGAAACTCGACCATTTTTGCGCATTACACTACTTTGGTAAGGTATGCACTCTTAGCCTATGTACTCGTGTTTGAGGGAGAAGCCTAAAGTATTCAGTGTAATTCTCTGTTTTCGCAGAGTGACAGTTCTGAGTCTTTGGATGTCAGTGCTAGGGTGGGTGAGTCGATTCTCCCAATGCGGTGAGCGCGAAGTGCGGGTAAGGGCTGGTGTACACTGTAACGAAGTTACGACACGCCATGAGTATCGATAATCGTTGCCCCTCTGTTGCTTTTTCGACCTTTGACCCCCCCCCCTCCGGCTTAGTCCATCGATTTAGTGGACACAATCTTCCACATACATTTGGCGCCTATCGCATTTAAAGACTTGGCGTGCCTACCTGACTAGCTTTTCAGAATTTTTGAGTCTTTCTACTACAAGTACTTATAATTCAAATCTGTTATATGGGTGAATATCGGCGATCAAGCAAACAAAAAACGAATAAAACCCACTAAATAAGGAGCGAAAAATACCACGGCCGCCTGCCAGATTCCATCAATGGTATTGATGGCAAAAAGTTGGTACGTGTACTTCGTTCCTCTCCGGCCTGGGGCATAGAGCGCAGGATTCGACAGCAACTCATCGGCCGGTGCATCCTGGTCGATCACACCCACGATGATCGGTTGGAGACTAAAACAAATATTTATTGTAAGAACCGACCACAAATGTATCATTCCCTTATCATTACCATTATCATTTTTTGCCTGAAGCCCTACTCAACCATTCTCGAAGCCCAACTCTACAACTCCTTGAAAAAATACATGTTTGCATAGTGAATAAACATTAACCTTGAAAATATGATAGGGTACAAAATTGAATAGACCGGGTCAGTGGTGAACGACGCACTCCAACCATTGTAGAATTGGAAAAACAGTAGTATGAAAACGTTGTTCTGAAAGTAACAGCAGCTTTTCCATCTTGAACTGAAAAAATACCAGATTTGTGAGAGGGAATGAGAGCCTTTGAAGGCGCATCAACATCCTTGTGCGGACCACCGATGAGATGTTCCGCTGCGCACATTACCGCTCACCTCATAGGCAGGTGTTCCATCGGCAAAATGGATCATGGATAACTTTCGTGTGAAATATTCTTTCTACAACAGCCTCAGTTTGAAGCAGTTTCTTCCATAACGCATTGTTTTCATAGCTCGGCAACCTGTTCCCTCAAATCTGCAACTTGCTTCCAAGCTATTGCTTTATTTTGCGGGGTGTTCCAAAATTGCCTGTCTCCAGATGTCGAAACTCAATAAACGAAAGAATTGACTGTTTTATCGTAGCTTTCTGGTGGTTGAATTTGCAGGCAATTCCTCGTCGACTGGGTAGCAAACTGGGTGAACTCAGTTGAAGGAGTCCAAAGCTCATTCAATGCGATGGGGCTTTCAGCAAGGGACGTTGTAGAATTTCTTACGGTTTTCGTTAGGACTATGCAGAGGCCCGAAAGAAACACGATCAGTAATGGGCATGGCTGATCGAGAAAGAAATCGGCGTTACAGACAGAATGATCAAAGTGTCTCACCTTTACTTGCGTGCAACATGTGAGAAGGTCAGAAGTGGGCCTCGGGCCTATTCTCGTGCCAAAGGAAGAATACTTGGAAACCTCACAATCAATACAATTTGATTGTTGCATGTTGTTGCGTAAAATGTTCGTACACATGGCTAATCACCAACTTCTATTCAGAACTTAGTAGTAGTACAGTGACAGTGACATTAGGATCCACTGAATGAGGTGAATCTATAACCTTCGAACACTTGATGTTCATTGCGATAGAAATTCCCACACGAAATCTTCGACATGCCGAACAAAATTTCCGAGCATGCCTTAGGTGACCACTCAGAAATGCTGGTAATCCCATTTGCCAATGGTTTCCATGGTTGATGCCTACTTTCTTGAGACGCTCTTCCACAGCCTCGTTTTGCATGAGCGGAGATTCAAATTGTCTGGACGCCAACCTGCTCAAGGCGTTGGCCATGACATGGGGGAGGGCACAATATGTCAATCATTACACGACGCTTGTACATCAAATACAACACGGTCGCCTTCACTAGAAAACATCGCATTCAGACCACTTCTTGACTTCAGTATCGATGCCTGCACGATGCTGTGGAAAAAGAACCTGGATAGACTGGGCAATTTCTGACCGTGCGTTGTGGTGCAGCCAAATGGCACAACGGAGACATCCCATAGGTTATGCAATACAGCCACCAGTGGCGAGAAGTCGGTATGGTGTATTGGGCACTCCCATGTGGCAAAAAAAATTATCAGAAATTTAACCCCCAACGGATCGCGACTTCTGACTGTTTAAGCCCACACTATTAGTCAAATCATTCTGAATTGTTGATGAGAAATCAGCTTTCAGAGGAAAAGGAACATGCGGAGATTGCCTTTTATATTTGCGCTGATCCACCCCGAAGGAAAAACCTAAGGAAATTCGAAGACTCCTTGGTGAGGTGCCATGGACCAATTCATCACTGAAAAGTCGATGCCTGAAGTTTGACAATTTTGACTCTTCAGAGAAGGATGTTACGATGAAATGGTGCAGAAGAAAGGAACTATGCATATTTAAAAAGGACGGCGGGCCCCCAAAGATGTGAGTAGAGACATGCGTTGCCGCGCAGGTAAACCGCAACCTGGCCAGCGCCACCTGCCGTGGTCCGGCACCGGTCCACGGCAGCTCCATGGAAAGGCCCAGCTGTGGCGTGAACGCGAGCACTTGCTCGTTGCGTCACGACTGCGGCAGGCTCGTTGAGGGACAGCAGTGGCCAGTGCTGTTGCCACTTCATTCAAATAGTACTGGGGTTTCTCGCACTGTAGCAACTTGTTCGACCAGTTGCGCGGCGAGCGAAATTCCTGTGTTACGTACAGCTACCATCCTCAAACTCTAGAATTGGAACGTTTGAAAATGTAGAGGAAGTCAAGGCTTCCATTTGTGAACCCTTCTCAGTACGCAGTCGAAATTGATTCGATTCAAAGAAGTCCGTCCCAGTCACTTCTACTTATTACGCAGCTAACCGAGAGCACAATAGATGCTAGAGTTCCTAAGGCTCCTTTCATTGTTTGCGGTCCGTGAGGTCCATGCGGACCGTAAATTATGAAAGGAACTTAATGTTTGCAGCTCGTTCCCTCGCCGCCACTATGACGTCACAATGACGTCACTAGTGCGCAAGCGCGTCCGTGTCGACGAGCTTCTCCGTGGAGCTGCCCGGCAGGGCCAATACTGGCTGGCTTGGGGCGCGATCGATTGATGGGATGCCCTCTGCGAACGTCGATAATATGATCTACCGTCAAATCTCGCCCAGGGCGGAAATCATGTGGGGATGGGTCTCGGGTTTTGAGTCGTTCTATCTCGGATTTCTCATAACCGTGCACCTTTCGCTACCCCCGCTACCTTTCACCTCCAATCTTTGCAATAGGCAACGCCTTTTTCGTGTTATTCGCCTTTAGCGCTTTTGAATCTGAATGTGAGCAGGGTAGAAGCTATCACAAGTTGCCATAAAAAGAGTATGTACTGTGGGAGATACTGGTGACTCTGCTTCCCTCTATGGATTCTTTCGTTCGCGTACGCAGGGAAAACTGGAAATTCACCAGCAGCACCGTTAGGAATCCCCGAAAGTGGTAAGTAAACGTACCGTATTTTTGTACAAAAAGTAGAGGAACGTCAGCGAGAGACGATCGTAGCACCAGTGCCCGTGCACCAAAAGCAGTCGCTGGAGAAACCGAAAACGCGCAATCGCGAAGTCGCATGCCATTGCTGCCTGTAGAGAAACACCGGCATCAAACTGGCACTTTGAATGTCAGAATAATGCGGAAAATTTTTGAAGACACAATTTGAATGGAACTGCAAGCTGTCGGGATCTCCTATTAGGTCAGTTTATTTGAGAGTTCCATGGAGGCACTTCAAATAAGGTAGAATCTTCATAAGATTACTTATGACGACAGTGCAGACCCAGCTATCGTGTCCCCCGACTCGCAGGCGTACTTGGTCTTGCGGAGCAAGCGCCACCTCACCCATCGAACCCCATCCCATCCACCTTATGCAACTTGATACGTAATCGAAGTTGAACTTCTCCAGGTGACAAGCCAAGCCTAATATCGTTCTTTTGCCCTTATATCTAGGTATTATACAAAATTCTGTAATGGATAAAACTCAATCGTGCAGTAAATCTTGAAGGAATCTATATTAAACGCATCATTGTTAACCCATTTTACATGCAAGTAATTGCGCTAGCTTCTCTCATAACCCTTTCCGCAGTTTTGACGTCACTGTAACGTCACCAGCACGAGCTCGCGGTAGCGCCGCCGGTAAGCTTTTTTCTTCTCTTCCCCCTCCTCCTCCCTCCAAACCGCGCCCAGCCTCCGTAGCGCTTTTGATCGCGATCGTGGCGTATGCGCCAACCGTTGAATCGGATGATAGCCCAGATAAGGGATCGTCCAGGGAAATTTTTCTTCTTTTCACCCTGCATGAACGCGTTGCTTGTGATCACGAGAGAAGGTGTTCAAAATTCCACACATGAAAAATGAGATTACAAAAAGAAATCAAGCTTTAAAAACACCTTCTGTGGATTTCAGTGACGGCTGGGGAAGAGCCGAAGAGTGCTTCGTATGGGACGGGCACGTATTGGACGTCTATTGCCCGCAACCCTGACCGCTTTCTGGATTGGGAACCCATGACGTTACAGCAGCGGAGGCCATGCTTATGGAAAACAGCATGGTTCCGGGAAGGGTACGTGAGGCTTGAAAACTTCCAACTACCTTTATGCGTCGTACTGGATTTGGAAGACAACCGCTCTCGGACGCGACACATCATTTGCTTCACTGTAGGTGTGGCAATGCGCCTTTCACCGTTCCTAGCTCGTTGATCGAATTGTATGCATGCAGATAGTCCATAGAGAAACACCTCTTCATTTGCGCAAGGTTACCAAACCTCCACCATTACTGCACGTAAAATAATTGTTGATCCTTCATATGTGCAGTTGTCAGGGGAACAAGGGAACAACTTTGAATATTTCTATCCAAAAATTGTTTTTTATGTCATGTGCCTGGGAGGTAGTCGATAGAGAGAAATAGGTCCACTTCATTGTTCGCTCAAAGCACTTTTCTTTTTCTGTTTGGACTCTTGTTAACGTAGCTGGTAGCCTGTCCCTACTAGGTTTGAGAATGCAGTTGCTAAGCTTCCAACCAAGATTGATAATAACTTTATTAGGCCGACGTTTCGATGCCTCCTGTTGGCAGGTGCACCTCTCTGTCAGCATTTCTAAAGGCTCTGAAGAAGGTGAAAGCACCGAAACGTCGGCCTAATAAAGTTATTATCAATCTTGGTTGGAAGCTTAGCAACTACATTCTCATATTCTGGACTATGCCAAGATTTACACAAAATCGAACTTGGACTGTACTAGGTTTGCTGTTCACAATAAGTGGGTCATATCATTCTATAACGAGTTTGGAGACCTTTTCTGAACCTTCTTCGTAGTTTTTCGATTGCCGATGATAAGTTTCTCCGATTTTCCGGGCACCATGCCGGGAAACCAATCCACTTGCTAACATTATTGTTCACCAATAGCAGTGGACTTCGTTGGCAGCAGCTCTCCGTGAGCGAAACATTTGCAGCCTCATGAGCTTTCAATGTTGCCTCCCAGGTTACTGTTCTCGAATCGGCGTTGCAATCCTTTGTTCTACGCATCCGAGCCAGTCGTGCTTTCGCGTGCGGTTTATCTGAGGATCCCACTTCTTGACACCACCAACAAAGTTGGCGGATCAAGCGATAGACGGGCGGCAAATCAAAATGTCCTTGCAAAATTTTATGGTCTCAATAGCCTGTGGTCAGTCAGATCACAAAATATCCTTTCGCCATAATTTCACTTCTTTTAGAGGCGATATTGAGGAACGGCCATTGTGGTCTGGTAGCACTGAAAGAGCTCCGCCAATTACCGTGCATTGCACTAAGCACTCTCTCCAATCGAATTCAGAATACACTCGTCAATGAGGGTGGCAGGCCGACCAGATTTGTGGTTTTTTCTCAAGTATCTGGAACTCGGCAACCAAATAATTGGCATATTGTGAAAGATAGTCTGGAGGTCCATCACAACACGTAGAACTACGACTGCTTCGTTTCAATCGAATTTTTGATGGAGGCGCGATATTGCGCCATTTTAGCCTCCTCGGGCACCAACTCGGCGCCGCTTTAGCGCCATACAATTTTCGCCCCAATTCTGGGCAGAAAGCTAATCAGAAAGGTTGATGATGACCCTGATTGTAAGAACAGTACCTATTTTTATCGGCGGTAACATTTGGAGTCATTTAACATGCGCTAACATGAAATGCAAAATTTTGTCATCAGCCGGGACCGATCCCTCGACCAATTTTTCATACCTTTTTTGGCATTAGGAGGGCCGCTCAGAAAAAATGGAGCCTAGTTTTGTACTCCATGCATGTGCCCCTTTATCATGCAAAAAACCGTTTTCAAAAAGGGCTCCATGTCCTGAAAGGCTTCCCTAGTTAGAGAGGGGAGCACCGCTATGCAGTGAATTCGACACACCAAGCATTCCCGTGTTTCTTGTTCCCTAAGACTAAGCCTTAGGGAATCTAGGAGGGTGTGTAAGCAGTGTTCGTTTCTGCCAAACTTCATCATCTCATCCTAGGCTCAATGCGCATAGCAATGACTCCCCCCTAGATACACTAGCGCCTTCGCTTCGAATCTTTTCGAAATTGCACGTAATTGCCAATGAAAACTTTTTAATGAAAGCACATTCTTACCGGATCATAGCAGGGGGCTAGAATCAGTTGTTCTGTGAACAGACAGTGTGAGGGGGAGGAGAGCGCGAAACATTACCGTCGATCCTGCTCCCAATGTGTAGCTCATGGGCTATTAACCCATTCGTGACAATGTCAGCCACCGGTGGCTGACAAAGATCTCACTCGGGACAATGGCATCCACCGTGGCTGCCGTGTTTCAAATGGAATTTGGAAAGTTTTCTTCCATGAAAAGAATCTTCATACCCTCATTCATCTACGCCAGCCCTGGGCAGAGGAAATCTCCATCCACTCAAATTTTATTGAAGAAAAATCTCCTGACTCTCTGCTATTGCGCAATCCCGCGCGGTCGCGAATGGGTTAAAGGAATCCTCCACGGAAAAAGCTCCGCCCTCATTACCACAGAAAACGATACCTTAAAGGAATCTTCCACGGAAAGAGTGATCATTTTGTCTTGTGTGTAGGATTAGTATTATCGAAACTAACGCTTATGTTCCGTTCTTTTTGCTATGCTCATGAGGCTAGGGGCCTAAGGGGTATCGTTTTTCTGTGGTAATGGAGGCGGAGCTTTTTCCGCGGAAGATTCCTTTAAGAGCTTCTTGTGTACATAAACATCATCAAAGTTTGGCAGCGTAATCATATATTAGGTCGGTCCACAATTTTTGAGAACCTTTGGTGTTTTTCGATTTTTACTTATCTTATTTGATCTACTTATCCAGCATAGTATACATCATTATTATTAACAACATATCACCAATGCGAGGGTGGGTATTCAGTGCCTCTATTGTGGACTTTCATAGAGTTCTGATCGAAGGAAAATTGTAGTCCCGAATCAGTTCTCAACCCAATCTGACATCATCAAGTTCCTGTTGGTTTCCCATAGTTCCTTCGGATGACCATCTATAATACTCATTGGTGATGTGGACTGGGTGCAGTGTGCTAACAAATCCACGAGCCGCAGTAGATTTGCTCAAACGATTCGGGAGTTCTGACAGTAAAAACCCAACTCCCTCTGAATTCGAACTTCCTGAGTCGTTGGCGCAATACGGGAGGGCCTTTGCGCTGAAGACCGGCATCAACTAATACCAGTGTCAGTGATGGGAAGAATCGTTGACAGCTTGATGGCAACGCCTTCAACTTGAAAGCAAAGGAAGACAAAATCTATTTTTTTTCTGAGGTCGTTCGAGCCCGCCTTGCTAAGAAAATTCCTAAAAAATTGGAGACTCTCGGGCGGTCAGTTCTTTTAGCTCCGCCTTGTAGCACTAATCCTGCGTCAACGAACGACTATCCTCTCCTCTCTCAATCACCTTCTGGAGAAGAAATCTCACTTGAATCACCATAAAGTCAAAATCGACATCCAATATTTCTTCGATCAGAACTCTATGAAATTCTACAAGAGAGACACTGAATACCCACCCTCGCATTGGTTATATGTTGGTAATAATGGTGATGTATACTATGCTGAATAAGTACATCAGAGAAATAAGATAAGTAATTGAATCGAAAAACACCAAAGGTTCTCAAAAATTATGGACCGACCTAATACATACGCAGCACCGCTGGTCAGTATTGAAGCACTTTGTAAAACGGAGTGATAAACTGCTCAATGATGACGTCGTTCTAGGATTCGGCATGCACTGGAGTTTCCGATATCGCATAAATGAGTGGGTGCCTACTCAGGTCAGCCCAAATGCAAATGCCACAGGTGTAGATAGGTGCTTCCATTGTCCAGTGCAGCCTTGGAGGCGATCAACCAATTTTGTAGTTTGATTTGAAAATTTGGGCTGACTCATGGTGCACGCATGTAGAGACTGCAGCACCTGCATGATTGAATAATATTTAGCATTTTTCCCAACTCATTCCTTTATGATGTACTTTTTTACCTCCTAACAGGCGAAGCTTCCAGCCAAATGTTGTTGCTGTGACTCAGATGTGGATTGTTCCTGAAAATTTCTTCCGGACGCACAAGACTGAGGCTCCCCCAGCTTTGCCTGCACAA